ATGGCGGGCGGCCGGGGTCGAGGGCAAGACATTTGACGCAGCGATGTTATGACGAGACCGCGCACCCAGGCTTTCGCAACCAACCCGCAGAGCCATAGCTTGACAGCGAGCATGCATGGTGGTTTGGTTGGCATCGTGGCGATAAAGCCAACTGTCGAGGCTGCTGCTGCGATTGGATCATCCAGAGCCACCCTCTCGACAGGGGGCGGCCGACGGCTGGTGGGCCCGGGGTGGTGAGAACAGTAGTCCCCGGGCCAACCACAATCTAATTACGGCCCGCCGGCTTCCCGAAGTTAGCCTAATTATAGAACATGTGATACAGAGACGCCATCGGTGCGCCATTATCTTCCCGCTTTTTGCGCTCCGTAATGGCCGCACCAATCGGAAAAAAGCCGGCCTTTGAGTTTAGCGCGGCAAAAATGCACGCACCAAGGAATCCCGGCACACTGACGGCGGACGGGGGGCTCACCGGAGTCTGGTGCTTGCATGTGGTGGGGCCATGGTTGGACTGCTTATTAGCGGTGATGATTGCTAGCTTTGGCGGCATTTTGTGGCCTATGCGGTTCCGTCAAGCGTCTATCATTTCTTTATCATCTATCATTAAGCTATTGCGAGGTGTTTTTGCCGACCCATAATTCGAGTTCCGGACGATTGTGTTCGAGAACCTCCGGAGGTACTGGGGGCACGCGGGACTTTTGAAAACGGCGACCTCGACGGGGTTTCAGCTGGATTTTGCCGCTTGAGCCCTCTTCTTTGCGCGGCAGAGCGTGATCTCGCCACTGGCTGCTGCCGGAAAAAAGTCATTGCTTTTGTTCGTGGAAGTCACGCCAGAAAGCTAGGAACGTTTTTGGAAATGCTGTGACCGAATTAGCTGCGGAATAATTGAAAGTAAATGGGTTTATTTCTTACCCAGTTTTTTGCGACGATTCTTCATGGAAGCACAAAAACTAATAACTGAATGAATAGGCAGGCAAGCGATTAGTCTGCTGTCTCCATAATGCCAACGCTGCCGGTTTATTGTTTGCTGGGACAAAGTCAGACGTGGAATGAACTCATCCACAAGTGCCGAGGGAGCATCCCCCAGAAAAACGGCCTGAGCTCTGTAGTGTGCTCCTTGACCGTGGCCGCCAATCAAAGGCCGGATCGCTGCCGCCTCTCCTCTGACGGTTGAGGGCTGCGCCCCTCCTCTCCTGCTTTTGACCTTGATTCCCGTCATCATCTGGGCCCTCTGTCCCCCGGGGCTGGGGCTGAGCCCCTCCTACCATGAATCGCCTCATCCACTGCTCGTTGCCATAATTAATCTCTAAAGGAAGAGCAAAATGGCTCTACCAGGCCACGTCAGTGGGCGAAATAGAAACGTGTCGTGGGTTTGAATTGGCGGCGGGGGGCTGATACCATCGAGTAGCAGCCATCACCACGATAATTGGTATTTTGGTTGGTGGAAAGGGTTTGTCTTAATTGCCACTTGGATTAAATGGGCGTATTTAATGCGTCGTCACACTGTGTAGGGTCTGCGACCGGCTGAAGCTCATCGTTCAGCTGTTCATGGTCTGAAAATGCTTCATATATAACGCTAGATCATGCGTTGCACGAACAAGTAAGATCTGAAAAGCTGGTGCGTGAGCAATTCTTTTTGCGGTTGCATAACTCCAAAAAAGTGGTGCATCTCTTTGCTGGTATGACGCCCAATAGATGCGTTCTTTGGACAGGCGTGTTTCTATGTCCTGTCTTTTTGCACCGCCAACTAAAATAACTTGCTTTCTCGTAGTACATTCAGCGGAGGACGGATTTCTCGTCGCCACTGCCCGTGGTCCCCCGCCAGTTCCAGATCTGACTGCGCCAGTGGCTATCACCAGCTCTGACAATATCCCTCTGTCGGCATCAGAGGCTCATCAGCTGCTGCCCTTCCAACCGGGGTGTACTCTGATACGGCCAGAGCACCTCTGCCCCTCCCCCATCGCTGACGTGTCAGCGTCGGACGGTGACCGGTCCCGCTCCGCTCTGATCTTGACCTCGGCCGGAGTTTCGCGCGGCCCGCTCCAGCTGGACGGCGGGCGGTGCACGCTCGCGGACGGCCGCGGCACCACGCAGCGCGGGACACCGCCGGCGCCTGGACACAGCCGACCCGTCAATAAATCACCATCGGCACACCTGGACCGGAATTTAGATGACCGATGACTGCATTTCAATGCGGGCGGCGTGCGCTGCGCCGCCGCCGCGCTTGGGGCGGTGTCGGGCGTCGACCGACCCGAGTCGGCGGATCGTGACTCGCTGTCGACACGAGCACAGGCGTTCACTGCACGACGGTGAAGAATTACTCCATTTCGTCCGAAGCTATCCGAGAGGCGCTCTTAAAACATTGGATTCTGAAACATTTCAACGTGGACGGCGACCGCCGAGGCGCGATTCATCAAAGTCGGAATATTCTGCATATATCTGATGGTGCGATCGCCGATGTCCAGACTGCGGTGCCCGTCACAGCCCTCCCGAATCTCCAGCCGCTCGGTGCAGCTAGAGCCGGGCCGTCCGCGGCGACGCCCTGCCCGCGCGCCGGGTCGGGTACGCGCCCCGCACTGACCCGGCCGCGGTCCGGTCCGGGCGCCGGACGCCTGTTTGTCGGCCCGTGAGCGTGCGAACGGGCGCAGGAGGCGGCGCGCCGCTGTGGCCGGGATGTTATCGGGGCGCCGAGGGCGTCCTCAGCCGGCCGGCTCGAGGGCCGGCAGCAGCGCCGCCACAGCGTCGGTCAACACCGTCGCTCGTACGGATCGGCCATTAGGATGTCAAGAAGGCAATGTCGAAGTTGGGCACGCCAGCCGTTGATGGGTGCTCAGAAGGTCCTGCTTATCGATTGTTTACAAAACAAATGCGGTGCCAGGTCGTGTGATGCTCTTCGCATCAGTAGCTTGGTAACGTTTAGACCCGTGTGATACCACGCGACCGACAAGTCATAGACCGCTGTGTCTATGATTCCATATCGTTTGATCAGGCCGCGACTGATGCAGTTAGCACACCCTAGATGAATAACTATGGTAAATGTCACGAGGTGGAAGAGTGCAATGACAGGGCGGGCAAGAAATCGGAATTCTGCAAATAGGCGTTCTTCATCTCTTTTGAATAAAGCCTCACTACCGTTCAATATCATGAACTTTTGGAGCGCGAAATCCTCAACCAGTAATTCCCAACATTTTAATTATCTCCTGGGGATAATTTGAGAAGGACCATATTGTCGCAGATGCATGGCTTGTCGCAGATAAATGGCCAGCAAAGACAATGCAATGCAGCCACAAAAATGCCATCCTTGGTCGTCATATCTTTCGGGGATTCCATGCTCCAAAACCTTCTTCCTGGGGGACTCGTTCTCAGGGCTGGCGTTGTGCAATTAATCTTGACCTTGCCAGGATGGAGGGGAAAACAAAATACCGTGGCGGCACATTAACCGGTTCACGGATCGTTTAGTTGGTTCACGGATCGCGTTTGTGAGAGATGGTGCCTGTTAAATGTCAGAAGTTTCCCCAGCATTTCCAGGCGGGTTACACACACACCAGAAGGATGCTCAGTTTCTCACGAAGATGAAAGTTTTGAAGCGGTTTGGTGATCCCCGACTTAAATAAATGCATGAGTGAAAGGCGCTTGAAGGATGGCTTCGAATATCATACATTACACTCAACGCAACATAGAACCATTCATAGTGATACTGCTTGGCATCGATGCTGTGGTTTGATATAGCCTGGCAGTGCAGTCCTTTCAATTCAATTGTCCAAAACAAAGATATAGCAGCATGCAACACCCTGTATTAGGGGCTTTGTTGATGCCATGGGGTTTTATCCTCCAGTTGCCAGGTCAGCGCAGACTTGGTAGGGCTCAGCCGGGGCTGCCTCAGGTGTTTTCGTAGAGGTCAGAATCGGCCGAAGGCCGGGGACCAGGCCACCCTCCTGACCTGAGACCATGCGGAAGGCACCGACCACACCCCGGTCCCAGTGACCTCGTGGGTCACGCAGCAGTGAAACACGCGCTCTTTCCGCCGCTGCGGCCGGACGGCAAAAACGTCCACACAGCGCTGTTGTGACGGCCGGAGCAGCCATTACGGAGCGGGCCGACTCAGCTGTTACGCAGGCGCGCTGCCCCGGGGGCAGGCAGCCCTGCCGTCCGGTCCGTCAATAGAGACAAAGGATGCCGGACCACACGCCCGGAAAGGCGCTGTCAAGGGGCTGTGACAGGAGCAGCGCTCGTAAAGCGCGACCGCCGCGCGCTGGGAACGGTTTTATTGGAGGTGAGGGGTAAATTACTTGACAAAGTCGACTGTTCGAGTTACACAGCGACCGGTAGTTAGGGTTTCTCGTCAGAGGCACTCAATGAAAGGCGCCACTAGTCTGGGAGCGGGCCGAGGCCTCTTTGTCGGACTCTTTGATCATGCGAGCAGTTCCGGGCGAGTCATTTTCCCCTCTGCACATGTAGCCTGGCTCTCAGCTCCTGTCGTTTGAGCCTCATCACGTGTGGTCGTCCCAAGGGGCATGGGAATGAACAACGCCGACCTGATGTTCGTTGTGCGCTATTAAGTAATCATTTTGTAGCATGCAATTAGTCTTATATTACGTGCAATTTGTCGTATAATTATGTCATTCATATCTATTATAAAGAGTCTAGTTACATGCCACTGTATTGTTGGCTTGATTCGAGCCTTATTTAATGTGGTCGGTGCACATCAGGCTCGCGTGGGGCCGTCCCGGAGAGCGTTCTCGGTCTCTGTCGACTCACCTCGTCACCCATCAATGATCCGCCATCTCTTGACCTCGCTCGTTATGCGCACTTATTCAGTCTCACCCAGGGTAGAGCCCTCCGTAAGCCTGAAAGCTGACTGTCAGCCAGAGAGCTCCGAGCCTCCTGCCGGGTCATGGCTCCCTGCCATCAATTTGACCTCCGGTATCCCTGACCCCCGCCTGTCCCCTGCCCGCCGCCCTCTGCCAGGCGGCCGTCTGACCGATGCGCCCTGTGCTCGCCAGGTACCGTCGGACCGAGCCGGCCGCTATGAGCGCCTTCTATGAGCTGTCGGCACCGCCCGGCGACCCGCCAGCCTGGCCGGACGCCGCCAATGGCTCGTGCGCGGGCGGCGAGTGCGCCCTGCTGGCCGAGCTGGGGCCGCCGCCGGACATGATCCTGACGCTGCCGCCGCCGCCGCTGCCCGCCTTCCTGGCCGAGTCGGCGCCGGCGCTGATGAACCAGAGCTGCGGCCTCTGCCAGTGGGCCGGTGGCGGCGCCGTCGACTTCGTTGAGATGCCTCGGCCTGGTGAGTGAGCAGGCGAACCAAGAAGGCGGCCGCCGTCGGCAGGGGCCTTCCGCGATCTTAGGTTTGGTGCCGGATCTCGGCCTGGTGAGTGAGCAGGCGAACCAAGAAGGCGACCACCGTCGGCGGGGCCTTCCACGATCTTAAGTTTGGTACCGGATACAAAGCGCCTGATTGTTATTATGTCATCTTGCAGCAGCGCAAATTAACGTGAAATTTGTCTGCACTCGTTGAAAGGAAAATTAAGATACATGATCGCGGCAACGTATCTGTTGTACACCAATGCTATTTTTAACGTGTCAGTTATTTGACACAGGGTAACAGTTCAAATTTTTCTGGAGCAATACAACTGAAGAAAGAATATTCTTCAGGCCGTGGGCGCTTAAGGCACTATCATTCTTGTAGAGTTCTTGAAGTACCTTGCAGCTGATTTGGATCGTCGTTCTTGATGTCCGTTCCGGATCTGTGCTTCGCTTCAAGCCATCACATCCTCCAATGTGCCGGCCTACTGTGTCTAATGCCCGGTAACCTCACCATGTTAATAAAGGAAACCGTTCAGGAGAAGAAAAAACTTAAAGGTATACAGCCGTCCCCAGAGTAACAGGCTCTGGCTGTTTCCTTCGTCCAAACATGGCCAGTTTTGATAATAACCCGCTGTTACCAGCGTTGTGCAACTCGAATTTGAATCCGTAATGAGCGTTTCCAGTGAGGCCTCCTTCGCGATGGGCGCCGGCCGCGGTGCACCACGCATCGCGTGGTGTTCAGCGTTGCTCACACCGCTCGAGGCGGGTGGAACAGCGGTCCGAGCCGCTCAAGAACGCAGCTCCGTTCCGCCGGGGCACCGGTCGGCAGGCCCGCCCATCATGATGAATGTCCACCGACAAAATTATAATGAAAGACGTGGACCGAGTCGTCAAACATCGAACCATTAGAACGGACCCCACACAGGATCGCGGCAAAGCAAACAGACCGAGCCGCCCGACCTGGGCCACGGCCCGGGTCATAAGAGCGGGACCCCGAGCCTAGTCATGCGACTCGCTCCGAGTCAATCCACCACCAGACCGGGATCGCGCCCCTGAACCGATTCACCACACTGGACCCTGGAACGAGTCGCCGAACGTGAGGCCGGAGCGGGCCGCCAGAGGGAGCCCGGCCAGACGGGAGCCCGGCCAGGCCGGAGCCCGCGCGCCGGAGCCGCCCCATTGCCGGCTGCAGGGCTCCGGTGGCCGCTCACGCCGGCCGCGCGGCGCCGTCCGTCCTCCAATCCGATCCCATCGTTACTCTGCGGCGCTGCGATTGCAGGGCTGCAGACGGTGATTAATGATTGGCACTAATCACCGCCACGGAGTAATGCCACCGCTCCCAGCACCGCCCTGTATACAGAGTCGATACCAGTCCTTCGCTGGCAGCATGCTGCTACCACAGCAGCACTCCTGGAGGCCGCACTTATACCAGCACGGTAGGCGCAGCCCCCCCCCCTCTCTCTCTCTCTCTCTCTTTTCTCTCTCTCTCTCTCTCTCTGTCTATCTCTCTCTCTCTCTCTCCTCTCTCTCTCTCTCTCTCTCTCTCTCTCTCTCTCTCTCTCTCTCTCCTCTCTCTCTCTCTCTCTCTCTCTCTCTCTCTCTCTCTCTCTCTCTCTCTCTCTCTCTCTCTCTCTCTCTCTCTCTCTCTCTCTCTCTCTCTCTCTCCTCTCTCTCTCTCTCTCTCTCTCTCTCTCTCTCTCTCTCTCTCTCTCTCTCTGTCTCTCTCTGCCTCTCTCTCCATCTCCCCCCGCTTCATCCGCCTCCCTGGTTCTCTTCCTCCCTCCCTCTCTATCCGTCCTGACCCGGCCCTCCACCGCCTCGGTGCGGCCTCGGGTGTCCCTCCCCTCCCCCCTCTGCATGGCGCCCGGACCGCCGCCCACTAATTGAGACGCCAGGCCCGGGACGTCGGACCCGGGCCGGGTGACGGCCGGCACGGCCTCGCCTCCGAGACGGATGGCGCCGCCGCTCGCACCCCGCGACCCGGCGCACCAGGCCCGGCGAGAGAGCGGGAGAGGGGCGCGAGCTCGGTAGTGGCCGCCGGGGCGGTGCCGTGTGGCAGGGCAACCACCGGTCGGCGCAGCGGAGCCTCGGCGGTGGGCGCACGACCGGAGGTGCAGTGCGCGGACGCCCGGCCGCGTGCGCCCAGCGGCCGACCGGGCCCGCCGGGCACGCGATTTGAACTAATCTGCCTCCGCCGCCGCGCCGCCGTCGCAGCAGCAGCGGCAGCATTCACGTCACGTGCTGGGGCGGCTCGCGCCGAAATGGCCGTGACGGTGACAAAGGCGCCGTGAATGCCACCGTTCCGGCACGCCATGATTTGCACAGGTTGTACGCTGATGCCGTAATCAGTCGCCTTGGCCGGTGGGTGGGACGATAGCCGCGGCCAATGCCACTGACGCTGCCGGGGAAGGGGAGTCGGAGGTGTTTGAAAGCTGGAACGGTGTCGAGGGCTCTGGTCGTAACACAACGCTGGGATGAAGTGAGCAAAAGTGGTCTTTGACATGAAACAGTACTCTGCGAGTTGCTGGAAATATTTTCCGTCTGGCTTGTTTTCCCTTACTCTTAGTTTTTGCGACTTAGCTCCGAGTGGATCCTGCCTGTGCGTGCAAGTCCAAGCATAGCCAGAATCCAGGTCATCTTAGATAATTTTGAGATGGCGGCATAAGCGGGGTACGAATCCATGATGTTCTAGATTAAGTAAGGCATCGATCGTTCTCGGTGCGTGATACTGAAGCCAGCCTACCCCTATATTTAGGATGTCTTTTCTCCACATTAAGGTGGAGAAGAGATCAGATCAATAATAGTTTAGTAGGTTGTCAAGGACCATTTCAGCACTTTGCTCGCTAATCGACCTATTTTATGGTGGATGGAAACGGATTTTGAACGGATGTTGGTTGAGCTCCTCGTGTGGCGCATTCAAATCGTCATGGTGACAATGATGTGTGACTTGAGGTTATGGCTGGCAGTTTAGGTTATCACGGGTCAAGTCAGTAATTTGTAACCGAACGAATTACACGTAGTTACGTTCACGAGGTACCATTATTATGTTCCCACCGCACGAGGCGATGACACTGAGGCATGACACTGAGGCATGACACTGAGGCGATGACACTGAGGCATGAAACCGCTATGCTATCTGCGAGCGAGATTACCACTGTTTACGAATGATTCGGTTTTTATTCCGTGGCAAACTTGTTATGGTGCATCACTCCACGCAACGTGTCATTAAAAAGAGAATCGTGTCCAGAAAAAAAAAACAGGGAGGCATTGATAGTGACGAAGGTCATGCCAGCAACGAATGTGTTTGTCATACAAGGGCGAGCTTGGCCTGCCGCGTTATTTACCTAACACATTGACTTTGCATGACACGTTCTGTTCCTGTGCCACAGGTCCTGCCATCGACGACACGTGGTTCTTCGTCATCATCTGTGCCTGCGTCGGGCTCACCCTCTTCGGAATACTTCTCACCATTTTCTGCCTCCGCCTTAAAGAGTGAGGAATGCTGTACTGTTGGGGCATGATGCTGTCGAATAATTAGGCATAATGACCACCGCCGGTGTGAAAGCACGCTGAATCGTTCTCACTGCATTGCTCACTCTCATTTTCATCACAGCTTCGCTGCTGCATGAAGGCCACTGTAACATGTCGCGAGCATATCAAGCGGATTGGGCCGCTTGCCGCAGCCCTGCGGTTTCAGGATACACCTCGCACTGTCACGGATAGCTCAAGCATAACATGGTCCACTGTAGCCCTGCGGTTTCAGGATACACCTCGCGCTGTCACGGATAGCTCAACCATAACATGATCCACTGTAGCCCTGCGGTTTCAGGATACACCTCGCACTGTCACGGATAGCTCAAACATAACATGATCCACTGTAGCCCTGCGGTTTCAGGATACACCTCACACTGTCACGGATAGCTCAAGCATAACATGATCCACTGTAGCCCTGCGGTTTCAGAATACGCCTCTCGCTGTCACGGATAGCTTAAATATAACATGACCCACTGTAGCCCTGCGGTTTCAGGATACACCTCGCACTGTCACGGATAGTTCAAGCATAATATGATCCACTGTAGCCCTGCGGTTTCAGGATACACCTCACACTGTCACGGATAGCTCAAGCATAACATGATCCACTGTAGCCCTGCGGTTTCAGAATACGCCTCTCGCTGTCACGGATAGCTCAAATATAACATGACCCACTGTAGCCCTGCGGTTTCAGGATACACCTCGCACTGTCACGGATAGTTCAAGCATAATATGATCCACTGTAGCCCTACGGTTTCAGGATGCACCTCACACTATTACGGATAGCTCAAGCATAACATGATCCACTTAAGTTTTGGCGATTGCATCTACATCCATGGCCTCGCCATTGTTCGGCTGGAGATCATCCCAGTGCACGTGCTACGTAAGCGCTGTGAGTCCATGTCAATCTCGTTCAATCTGTATTCCTTCCTCGTTATGCACAATGCACGCTAAGCGCCGTTGGACTAGAACCTTGTATCAAAAGCTAGGCGCAAGCTCTACACGCAGGTATGGTTCCAACGCTCCAGGGCTGAAGCGTCCATGCACATGCGAAATTAAGGACTAGAGCCCTAGTTGGAGCTCTGCGGACCTATGCATATATGGGCGCGACAACGGGAAACACCTAGTTTTGTGAAAGTGATGCTGTTGCACCTGGTCGTCTGATTAATTTACAATATGCTTTATACGATGCGTACAATGCACTTAGTTGTCAGGCACAACACAACCTTGACAGATAGCGTTGTCGTACAGGAGCACGATAGCAAGAGCACTGGTCAAGAGCGCGATACGCTCACAGCGTCAGACATGTGTAGAGCCAGCCTTGGTGAACAATCTGGCGGTTCAGCCGTCCAGTCTCCAGCGAGTACTGCTGGCGGGCGTCCAGTCTCCAGCGAGTACTGCTGGCGGGCGTCCAGTCTCCAGCGAGTACTGCTGGCGGGCGTCCAGTCTCCAGCCAGTACTGCTGGCGGGCATCCAGTTTCCAGCGAGTACTGCAGGCGGGCGTCCAGTCTCCAGCCAGTACTGCTGGCGGGCGTCCAGTTTCCAGCGAGTGCTGTTGGCGGGCGTCTAGTCTCCAGCGAGAACTGCTGGCGGGCGTCCAGTCTCCAGCGAGTACTGCTGGCGGGCGTCCAGTTTCCAGCGATTGCTGCTGGCGGGCGTCCAGTTTCCAGCGAGTACTGCTGGCGAGCGTCCAGTCTCCAGCGAGTACTGCTGGCGGGCGTCCAGTTTCCAGCGAGTACTGCTGACGAGCGTCCAGTTTCCAGCGAGTACTGCTGGCGGGCGTTTGGGCATGGGCGTACTCTGTGAGCTCACGCAGTCACAATGCGCCGAGCTGCGGTCAACGTACCCACACGGCCCGCCACATGGCCCTTAAGCGCCCGCTGACAGTGACAGTCGTCCCCAGCTGGGTTCCAGTGAGGCGTCTCTTTAGACGGACGCGCAACATCCCATAGTGCCCTCCAGTGGTCCTCTCTTCAGCCTGACACACGGCTGTATGGGCTGACACAGGGCGTGCCATCGGGGCTGAGGCGACGCGCGGTCCCGGCGAGCAGACTCACGCAGCACTCCGGCCGGCCGGCCGATCTGCCGATAACGGCTGAATGGGGCTATTGAGGAGGCCGGAGGAGCCTGCTGCTGGCGCTCGGCCGTCTCCCGGCGCGGTCGGTGGCCCCGCGCAGGAGGCGCCGCGTGGCTCCCCGCTCTGTCGGTGTCGCCCCGCAGCAGGCGGCGCGCGCGGCTCCCCGAACCACTACTGCCGGTGTCAGCGGGCCGCGCCCTGAGAACGCCAGGCGCTGGCTATGTTGAGCACTCCGGCCGATGTTAGTACTAGCAAATGTGCCTTGAGCGTTGAGCTACGTGCCTCACGTCACGTAGCGTCGGGCTGACCTGTAAAAGCTACGCGACAGCTCGTAACTGCGGCAGCTCGTAACTGCGACAGCTCAAAACTGCGACAGCTCGTGACGCGCTGCTCCCGCCATCCACAGGCAGAAGAAGTCACGGCTGGGACTGGACGCGGCGGACAAGACCAAACCGCCGCTGGGGCCGGCGCGCTGCGAGGCCGTGCTGTACCCGTCGGCGGTGGCGGCGCCCGGCGGCCCGAGCTGTCGCGCCAGCCGCGCGCTCTGGGCCGGCCTACGCACGCATGAGAACCACTACACCATCGAGCACGCGCAGCCCGTGCAGCAGAAGGCCGGCAGCATCACCGCATCCAGCTTCGAGTTCCCCGACGACTACAGCTCGGTTGGCTACACGACCATCTCGCCGCAGGCGTACCGCGCCGGGATCCCCGAGGGCGTGCACATCCTGCCGGCGCACGACAACTCGGCCTACGCCGCCGCCGCCGACGAGGCCGTGCAGGTGACGCGCGTGGCTCCCGACGGCTGCGTGGTGACGGCGTCGCCGCGGCCGCGCGCCGCGCGTGCCGAGAGCTACGCGCTGCGCCGGCTGAGCGGCGAGCCCGAGCCAGAAGAGCACTGCTACGAGGAGCCTCTGCCCGGCCGGCCGCTGGCGCCCGACGAGCGTTACCAGTCGCCGGCCGGGCTTGACCTGTCGCTGCACATCTATGAGAAGCCGCAGTTCCGCTCGCCGAGTCGTTCGCCCAAGAACCGGCCCAAGCTGCTCAACAGCCTGAGCCGGAGTTCGCCGCGACCACGCCGGGCAGCGCCATCTATCTCCAGCCCGCGCAGCCTGGAGCGCCACCAGCTGCCGCCCCTGAACGCGCGGCAGCACCGGTCGCGCGGCGCCGAGGACGGCCGCCTGCTGCAGTACACGCCGCCGCCCGGCCAGCGGCTCAACCGCTCGTATCCCTCGCCGGTCGTCTGAGGAGCGCAAAACGGCGGGTCGGGTCACGGGGACGATGGCACCAGCCCGTCCGGCGGCTCGCTGACGGCGAGAGGAGAGAACACCGGTGGAGCTGGCTGGAACGCGACGTGCGGACCACTGACCAGCTCGAGGACGAGTTCAGGTCGACTGAAGCAGCTCGCTGCAATCGGACGGGTGACGGATGTGAGCAGCCCTTTGAGGTCGGGGATGTGATCGTCTTGGAGGGTCGGATTCGACTCCCAGACACAACACCCACTGCTGCCGGGGCTGGTGTAGACCTTACCTTACGGAGAAGGCCAAGGTCGATTCGAGGTCTGGACTGAAGGGAAATGACGTCACTGGCACGTGATGATACCAAAGATGCGTATTTAAGATTTAACGTGATACGATATGTTGTGTGCACTACGATATTAATGCTCTTGATGTACCCTTGTACGTTAGACAGTTCCATCGCCGACCATGAATGACATAATGCACTCATGTGCTCGTCAGCTGACCCCACCACGGCTGCGGCGTGGCAGTTATCCCTGCCACTGTGCTGCCCTCGCTTGGGTAATCCGGTTTGTAGAGTCAGCTGTAAAGCGAGTATAATGTAATATACCTATTATGTACCAGTATGTTACTGGTGTCAGTAACTACATCAATGAACTTTGCGTCCTCTGTGCTAAACATAGCTGTGTTATTGATTCCGTTTTGAAGGCAGCTTTTGTCTCAGTTGGATGTGCCATGCAATTTGTTGAATTTGTGCGGTGAATGGCGTCGATGTGTTGTAGGTATGAGTGCGGCATGTATACGACACGGCATGCTATTTGACGGGAAAATAGGCATCTACTTCAATTCGGAGGAGAGATGTGCATCGGTGTGCCCGGCAGTACAGCTAAAGTGATGCCCGCCCCAGCTCGAGCCACCTTGAAGTACCACTACAAGCTCTTAGATATGGTCGGTTTGAGCGGGGTGTGCCATCCTGACCTGGTCTGGTGCGAAGACCAGACCTCCGGTTTCAAGGGCCAGTAGGCGGCGCACTAGCGCCCCAAAAGCGAGTCGGGTGTACGGTCTGCGTACAGCCTGACTCTCGTATGCACGAATGGTGGCTGCCGGGGCTGGCGAACATTTAGCCTGGCTGCTGGGCGAGCTGGCTCAGACATAAAGAAAGGCGAGCGGACCGATTGCTGCACCGATTTGATCGACTGCTGTACGGTGACGTCAACAGAACGCAGAGCAAACTTAATGGATGAAAATATATGGCCTAGTCCAGAACGGAAGTGTTTTCACTCATAGCGTTGGTGGGAACTGCAATGCGCTTGCGCAGTGTAAGTTTTGTGTTGTTTGGTTCCCCCTGAAAGCAGGTGCAACACACATGCGAATGTGACCTATTGAGAGCTCGTTGATCTTATCGTATAGATCCTAATTGTGCAGTGTTTGCCTACAAAATAAACGATTCTTATTTGTTTTCTTTTAGAACGGACAAGCGACTGATATAATATTGCGGTCACACACACAAGGCTTTGCTACAGAAAGACTTGGTATAACGAATGTACAGCTCAGTCATTGTCATTGCAAGCTCTCGTTTGCTAACCTCGTTTATGATACAGCCACAGTCGCTGATGCGTACATAGTCACTGGTTTATTCCAGAACAACTTATTGACACTACATAGTAAGTAAACACCATGTCCAGCCATGCCTCTTATTGTGTTAAAATGCCGCAGTAATTTACATCATGTTTCAATTTGTTGTGATTCATAGCAAAGCCAACTCCTACACATTGAACCACGCCTCCAACGCATACACATTTCACACTCCACAAAAACTGAAAAACTGGTTTTCCTTCCACACAATGACCGTTTTCATGATGGATTAATGCACCGAAAAGTTTGCACGGTCGGTAAAATGTGCCCGTTACATTTTAACGTATACTTAACACTTTGACCCCAATTTTTTCTGTCATGCAATTTCATCAACATACTGTAATTAAACCACATGTATGAAACTAAGAAGAAGTTTGTTACGTTAAACGGAACCTTTTATATTTTTTTTCAGCCGATGCCTTTAGCTAACCCAAACTCTGGGAAAACACTACGCTTTGCAATCCGCAATGAGCATCGGTCGAGGGCGTTGGATGCCGGCTGCTCATTATTGTTTACATCGGTGCTCTGTGGAGAGAGGCAGGCCTTGAAGATGATTTAATTTCAGAAATTTTATCCTTGGGTGTTATTAACACGCACTCGGGTGGGAGTCAGGTTGCCCCCCCCCCCCCGAAGGTTTTTCCAGAATGGTTTCCAAACGGCGCTGTGCAGCCGCGCAACATTTTTCATAGCTATCGGCAATTGAATAATGGATCATTTGGTATACAAAATTCAGATGTACCTTGTAAGGTCGCTGAACTACGGCAGGTCATGCGGTAGTTTCTGGTGCTCAATTCGAGTTTATTGATAACAGAATCTGTACCTCTTTATTCGATTTTATGTAAATATCAACAAACCGTAAATAATCAAGGGCAAAAAAACAAATTTGCGTTGAAATGGCGTATATTATGCAGCTGATTTGGTACAAACGTTGACTCCAGATGACAAATTTTCAACAGTGGAGTACAAATGAAGTGCACTTGGAAACATTTGCCGTGAAACCTTGCGACTATGGCACAAGACGAAACATAACGATAAGTGCAGTGAGTAGAAATGAAGTACACTTGGAGACGTTTGCCGTGAAGCCTTGCGACTGTGTCACAGAACGAAGCATAATAATAAGTGCAGTGAGTAGCAGGGACCCGCCCTTAGCGCCAGCTGCTCGACCCAGATCCGTTTTCTCACAGCTCAGGCAAGAGAACTGGCAAGTTTTGTAGCGTGTCTCATGCGTCTCTAATGCCCGGTCTTGCTCAATAAGTGCGTGATGTTGGTAAAAGGTGCCCCAGAATAAATGAATGAGATGTTCACAAAACAAACTACATGGAGATGTTATTTTGTCATATTGTATCCGCCCAACCTCTCGTTGTGCGATGAGAATGATGTGATCAAAATATGCCTCAAACTGTCCAACGTTCTGAATATCATTTATTGTTAATTACCATAACCACTGAGGATAACCACATATTTGAAAAAGTGGCGTGACCAGTTTTCCACAAGTCCATGTCCACGCTGTCATTTTATCCACTGTTTTGTGCAATGAAGTTTGCATTGGTTTTGGACGGAGTTTAAGCTGCGCCAGGCCGTGGGATTGAGACCACCGCGCCCGTCTGGGCCTCCTCTTTGGGATCTCCAACTTCCAGACGCCGTTTGAGGAAAACAAAGATACGTTTTTGAAGGTCTCGTCAGAACATAAAGGATGTACACCAAATTGGTGACTGTAGGTAAAATGTGAACTGACCAGTATTCACAACGGGTAAAAGACAGTCGTTCCAATAGATGCAGTTAAAATTTATTTTAACGCGTCAAAAGTGATGAAAATATGCATTAACATGCGCCCAGGTGGCCGGCCGAATACCTTTTGCTCGGGTGGGGGTCAATTTGACCCCTGATATTCAAAAAATAAGATAGCTAGATACAACAGATTCACAGAATAGATTAACCTGTACATGAACTCAGTTTTTCATAATTTGACGTTTCTAGGTCATGATCTTGAGGTCAAATGACGTCAAACAATGTCAAACTCGAGATAAGTGTCCACAGAATTGTATGCAATCACCGTAAAACTGGACACCTGTTCTAAGTAGAGGGTTTATGAGGTCAATGACCTTGTTTGGTCACTGTAAAGTCACGGTGACAGATTACTACGGAACTGCATTTGTCTTTTCATTCGAATAAACGCCAGAGATTGTGATAGGTGGCATGTTCCTAAGACAAAATGTTGAACTGGGCAATTTTAAGTCAGTGATCCAGTGTGGCCTTTTAAATTACATGAAACATGACTGTTATAATCCTTGTCATTAATAAATTAGAAATGAGCACCAGAAACTGCGCCTTAGAACCAAGCTCTGGAGTGAAAAAGCAGGCTAGTTTTGACCTAATGCTGTCCTTCATACCTGACCCTAGATCAATGGTATTGTTTGTAATGCTAAATTCAATTGGTACATTGCATAAGAAACCATCCCAGATATGTACGACATCATGCAACACTCCGTTCTTGTGTAGACGGCCGCCACGTCGAAGACACCGAGGTTTTAGGTGCACTATATTTGATGACCGCCCATCGCCAACACCGCGCTTCAACTCCTCGTGGACGCTGACAGGGAAACAACGAAACCTCGGAAATGGACAGACTAGACCTAGAACTAAACAGAGCGGAAACAGACAGAACAGAGACTAAAATTAGCAATACAAAGTGAATACCAAAATAGCATGGATTGACTGACGCTAAATTAGACCTCAAGATAATCGCATGCTAAGTGACTCAACAAACGAGAAGCGAGCACTAAATCAAACTAGAAATGCAAACGGTGCACCGACTACACTTGCATCACATCGAGCAATTCCCTAGAAATGCTCTTCGCTGGCAGCAATGGTCTGGCTTTGACCTGTCATAGGTCAGCGACCTTACCTCTTTACCTTTATTACATCTAGATACATTACCTTTACATCTTACATGTAAAGTCATGCATGTAATGTATGACTTTGCATTACATCTTACCTTTATTACATCGAGATATCCCCCATTCCATCTTCTACAGGTCCGCGAAAGTTTGCCGCCGTTACGTCCTGCCATTCGAAAATCATTTTGGAAAACCCTCGGGGGGCAATTTACCCCCTCCCCACATCACCTGAGCCCGTGTTGAGATTGTGGAGAGTGCGATGCGATGCGACCCCCCACCCCCCACCCGCGATTTTCTGAGGATACCAATGCGGCATGCTGTGCAGTCTCACTCAAATCTTTGATAGTCTCTGGGACATCCATTGCACGCGTGTTGACACCAAAAAATTGTCCCTAGCAATTCTGGTTTCAGAGAAGCGATGCGGACTGATGTTATATTATATCTGGGGACCACTCAGGGAGGCTTGGCACTGTTATATGAATGAAACCGTACATGACAAATTTAGGCTCCAAACAGACAAAACTACATGACGTTTTACCCACAATTAAACAAGGGGCACACTCCTCTATGTTACGTGTCACTACACTGCATGATTTCGCAAATATGAACATGCAAAGCTGATGTCTGGTTTTCAGGAAAATTTGACTTTCGACTTTATTTAGTGGGGTCAATAAAGAACAGAAAGCTTCTTACGAATCACGAGATCTCGTTAAAGACAGTTTACTGTTTTTTGCGAAGTTTTGCCATTCTTAGTTCGCTAACGTCAGAAAGCCTCCTTCTCCTGCCAGTCCACGTTATGAAAACCGGCGAGTCAGGGTAAGAGTTAAAATTGTTGGCTGCTATTCGCTTTTATTTATTTGCTCATGCTGGTGTAAAAATCTGCATTTCAGATTATGACAACATCGACTGCTACAGCAGCATGACACCTTTCCTTACCAACATCCAAACATTGGTAGAACTTCAATCAGCAAGCCAAACTTGCCTTTTTGCATGCAAGTAACATGCAAATCTCAGGTTATCTGTGATGTTTGTTATGCATTATGCAGGAGTATCAACTCAACTTCATTTATGGGCCACTGCATCTATATCTAAATGGGGCTGGGCCCCTTCAATGCTAATATCTCCCCTCATCCAACATTTCTAGCCAGAAAATTACAAAAAGATATGAGAAAAGTGAGCTATAGCACGAAAGCATCTTCTTTGAACTTTATTTGTTCACTATGATTCACGGGTTCCTACTTTCTTCTAATCGTGCATGAAAATTGGCACTCCTGTCACTTTGCCACCACCACACAAACTATATTGACTTATACTTTCAATGTAGGCCGTATATAGGGTAGGCTGTCTGCCTTCAGCTGAAAATGCTTTATTGAATGTGCTAGGGCAAAATCAAATTAGGATTATGGAAACATTTATGTTTAAACCAGCCAGCAAAGGACGGCGTTTTCACGCCGCCATAGCGTTGGTGCCATATGACGTAGTCCCGTGTGA